TCCGATGGAGTTTTACGGCGAACCGCATACCGGCGTGCTCGTCTTGGAAGCACGATCACAACGCCACCGACCGCTCCTCCATCGGACTTCTCATGCGCCCTCACGCGCGCGTGCAAGTGCCAGTACTGAGAAGATGGTAACTAATATTGACTGTATACCTGGCCGGAGGGCGAGTATCACGAGTACCCTTACGAAGAGCAATGGGGAGGTCACTATCCGAAGGTGGGACCACAGCCGAGGGAGGAGATGCAGTTGAATATGAGTTCACAGATACATCTGAGGAACTATGTTCGATCTCATCAGGAAAGGAGGTGATAGACAGAGAGTCAGAAACATGAACTAGTAAAGACAGAAGGTATTCGAAAGAGTCGACTGGGAAAGAAGACTGTACGGAATCAGTGTCCACAGGAAAATCTGTGGTTGGTTGCAGGTGGATTTATGCTGTTAAGGTTGGATCTGATGGTCAAGTGGATCGTCTTAAAGCTCACTTGGTGGCAAAGGGTTTCACTCAAGTGTTTGGATTGGATTTTATTGATACTTTTTCTTCTGTGGCGAAAATGTCTACTGTTCGCCTCTTTATTACCATGGCTGCTATTCGCCATTGGCCTCTCTACCAACTTGATATCAAGAATGCTTTTCTCCATGGTGATCTTGAGGAGGAGATTTATATGGAGCAACCTCCTGGATTTGTTGCTCAGGGGGAGTCAGGTCTTGTTTGTCGTCTTCGTAAGTCTCTCTATGGCCTCAAACAATCTCCAAGAGCTTGGTTTGGTAAATTTAGCAGTGTTGTTCAACAATTTGACATGATTCGGAGTGAAGCTGATCATTCTCTCTTTTATCGTCATTTCGCTTCTGGATCTATTTACCTGGTGGTATATGTGGATGATATTGTCATAACAGGTAGTGATCGGCATGGGATCACTCAACTGAAACAACATTTATGTCATCATTTTCATACTAAGGATCTTGAAAAACTTCGATACTTCTTGGGAATCGAGGTGGCCCAATCTAAAGCTGATGTAATGATATCTCAGAGGAAATATGCTCTGGATATTCTTGAAGAAACTGCTCTGTTAAATTCAAAGTCTGTTGATACTCCTATGGATCCAAGTATCAAGCTTCTACCAAATCAGGGGGAGCCCTTTCCAGATCTTGAGCAGTATAGAAGATTAGTTGGAAAATTGAACTACCTCACAGTCACTCGGCCTGATATATCATTTGCAGTTAGTGTTGTCAGTCAATTTCTTAATTCTCCATGTCAAGAACATTGGAATGCAGTCATTCGTATTCTTAAGTATATCAAGGCATCTCCAGGAAAAGGCCTTGAATATGAAGATAAAGGTCATGATAAAGTTGTTGGGTATTGTGATGCTGATTGGGCTGGTTGTCCAACTGATAGGAGATCTACTTCTGGGTATTGTGTCTTTGTTGGAGGCAACTTGATTTCCTGGAAAAGTAAGAAACAAAGTGTAGTTGCCAGATCAAGTGCTGAAGCAGAATACCGCTCCATGGCGACTACTACTTGTGAGCTCCTTTGGCTTAAACAGCTTATCAGAGAGCTTAAGTTTGGAGACACTGGACATGCAACTCTCATTTGTGATAATCAAGCAGCTTTGCACATTTCATCAAATCTAGTGTTTCATGAAAGAAACAAGCATATAGAAATAGATTGTCACTTTGTTCGAGAAAAGGTTCTTGCTGGTGAAATTAAAACTAGTTTTGTACCCTCTAATGAGCAATTAGCAGATGTGTTTACAAAATCTTTGAGGGGTCCTCGAATAGAGTTTATATGTAACAAGCTTGGTGCATATGACCTATACGCTCCAGCTTGAGGGGGAGTGTTAGAAATATATTGTAATTAGTATTTTCTTATTTCATTAGGGTTTTGTATTATGTCTGATTGTATTAGGTTTTGGCTTAGCCCATTAGTATTTCTATATATTGTACATTCCTATTCATATCAATACACAATTTATTTCAATGTTCCTCTCTTTTCTTGTTATTTAACAAAAGCTACCACAGTTAAGAAAATAAACAATTGATTAACAAAAAGTTTATCATTCAATTCTCGATATTCTACAAAGGGGAAATACATATCCATGTTATTAGTATTATTAATCTTGGAGTTCAACTTCAAACTTTTAGTGGAGTAGCATCAAATTAGATGATTATTTGTTGATCGTAAAAAGCCTTGATTAATAATAAATGGTAGATCCCCAGGTTAGCTTGAGAAAAGGGTGATAAAATTTTAGTTGACAAGGACTTGTAAGTTATTTGATCTTGGACTTTGATTTCAAATTTGTGCTCAAGAAAATGTGAGAAATTGTTGGGTTATACTCTTATTATTTAAAAGCCTTTTGGGCTTTAGGAATTCCTAGTACAAAAGGAAATATTGTCAACTCCATTTGTTTTGTTAGAACATGTGTATGAGAAGTGGCCAAGGATATATAGGGTTATATTATATCCTTATATATACCAACTTTAGTAACTTAAGTCGTCATGCTTTCTGAAATAAGGAATATAGTGCCCACACACTTCTCTGTCTCCTCTTAAGTCTTACCTTCGTAGATCTATCTATCTCGTAGTCGTTGCTTATGAGAAGATTTAACATTAGAGAAGGGCATTCCACACATTTATGCTACAAGAGGTATACCCTTTGTGTTGATGAACAATGATTATTGATTAACATCACAAACCACAATGGTCCTACACGCTTTCACCGGTCTCATTATTCCTTCAATTTATTTCTTTCCAATCAATATAAAAAAATGTAAATTCAAATTTTTAAAGGACTTTTCATACCATGATTGTAAAAACATTTATTAATAGATTCGACAAAAAAAAAGTCTCAGATTCAATTTTTATTAATAGACTTTTATTCCTATGTTATCTATAAATATCATTGAAAGTACTCCGTGAAATTTATGGCGCGCACTAATTAACTTTGGAATGAGCTAACGTCTACTTTAAAATTTTGAAATTTACGGGCGTGGGTTCAAATTCCGCTAGCCGACGTAAGGACTTTGTTGATAGATGATATGTAATCTTCCTTAACCTTAGTGGAATATCGGTGTTTAACCTTATTTAAACTTTTTTTATATAAAAAAATTGAAAGTTTTATATTTATAAATAGATTGAATTTAAATGCAATAAATTTAAATTCCCTTTTTCAAAGTCAATAGATATAAACAAATAAAAACCCAATTTAATTACAATTATTATATGGGGCAAGCAGCACAATAGCTTTAATTATTCTAAAATATAGGGAAGAATTGTTTGGTTTTGTGATGAAATCTCAAGATATTGAGTGGAATACTTTCTGGATTTTGTTAGATACTGGATCATAAAGTCCAAACTGTTTGAACCTCTAAAGTCGTTAATAATAATTATAATGATCCAAATAATGATGCACAACAGTTCAATCGCTAAAGACGAAGCAACCTCACTGGGTAATTGGCCAATGGGCATGAGATTTTCTTGCCGAAGAGAGAGAGAGAGGGTATCTAACCTAATAAAGAGAAAGATGCAAAGACTAATAGTGAAAAAGTATTGGATTTGCCCCACTTTTTTGAGCTCGTCTATTAGCATGGAAAAATTGTTAAAATACAGTAAGGTGCACTACCTATTTTTCGGGGGTATGTCATTGGTACCAGGTTTTAGCTGAGATTTTGTGACATCAAATGCACAAATTTGGTGAAATGTCAAACTGGTTAGAGTATCTCTTCCCGTCATCTTCCTTGTCATCTAATAGCAACTCTTCCATCTCCCACTACAACTATCTCCTTTCAATCTAATCTTTTACTGTGTTTTGGTGATAGAAAACTTAATATGGTGACACATATATTATTGTGATGCTGAAAGTGAATCTCCTGTGGCTGCAATTTGAAAAATACTGCATGAAATGTTGAACTTAATTTCTTTTTAGATACCAACAGTATTTGAAGCCTTATTAAGAGCCGGTTTGGATGAGTATTTTTTCTTCTTCAAAAGCTATTTTTTTTTAAAAGCACTTCTCATTTTTAGTTTGTTTAGATGTCTGCTTTAAAAAAAACATAAGTCACAAAAAAGTCAAAAATCTACTTTTTTCATAAGCTAAAAATTCTAACTTCTAGAAAAAGTAGAAGTCAAAAGCTAAATATTTTTTTCAAAAACAAAATATTTTTATAAAAATATAAATAACTTTAACTTTTGTAAAAAGCACTTCTAAACTAAAGAAGAGATAAAAGTTACTTTTTTGATAAGGCCAAACAAACGGGCTCTAAACCCGCCTAATTCAATTTTGGATTTGAGTCTCTTCATTTTTTTCAGGAACTGCGACTCTCATATATTTCAGATATTATTAAATGATATATATACCATAAATATAATTCAACTAATTTTAATGGCCAGATGATGAATTGAACCCGGTTGCAATTTTTCAAAATAGCAGAATATCCTAATTCTTATGATGTTACATAATATTTTAACTACGACAAGTGAGTATTGCATCTTTTTCACTACCAGCAAGTTTTTAATAATAAATTAATGTGAATTTTATTAGGTGAGTTTGCATCTTTTTCACTAACAGCAAGCTTATAATAATAAACTAAATGAATTTCATTAGTGATGAACTATATTGCAAAAAAAAAAAAGATTTATGCTGGACTAAACGGATAAAAGAAAATTAGTGAAACAACAAATAAAGTTTCTGATTGTTATGCTTGTGCAAATAGTTTTCTCTTTTTCTTTTGGTTTTAATAATTATATAATTTATTGAGCAGGAGTTCCTTGACATAGTAATTGTTGTTGTCGACTCTAGTCTCTAGAGAGCACTTGTTTGATTCAAATAATCAACCTTATACAAATACAAAATAAGACTGCTGATTATAAACCTTCCCTAAACCTAGCATATAGCCATGAGCCTTATTCTTGTGGGCCAAGCCCTTTGTTGCTGCTATATTCTTGATTTAGGTACATATCCTATTGGGCCAGTAAAAGACCCACAAGCTTTAATTTATATTGTGGGCTAAGCCCCTAGGCTCAGATCAAGTTTGTGGATTTCTCAGCATTCAAGTTCTTTGAATAGAAGGAGCAACGCCAAGCTCTTGAATAAAGTAATTTATCTTATTCAAGCGTGGTCCATTATACTGAATCTGGAAGAGATAAGAAGGTGGTAGAAAGTGAAAGAGACATTAGGAAGACAAAAACATTCAAGAAAGCTGATAAAGTTATAGAAAAATGGAAACATCAACTCATTCCTGTGCAGAACTCAAGTGTGAGGATTTCAATATTGAAGAGTTTAAAGCCGTTGGGGAGTGTAATAAATGAATAGTGGAAGCAAGAAAAGTACTGAAGGCAACAATCTATATTAAATTGGCTTACAGTTTAAAATCATAGGAAGAACAATTTGCATCATTCATCAGTACAAAATCATCAAATCCCCATCATACAATTATCCCACAACATCAGGAGAGTAAAACATACAGTAACTTCAGACATACACACTTAATTTGAAGTAGATTACAATGTACAAGGAAAGGGAAAAAAGGGCAAACACATGCTGCCAGAAGAGAAGTGCTGAAGCTTCACTAACTGCATAACCCCGCAAGCTAGCAATTGCTCCAAGTAAGATAGCACTTGGTGTTGTGTACTGTAACAAAAGCACAAATCTAAACATAGCATCATTCTCAACCAAGAAATTTAGCTTACCCGACAATGCCACAATCCCAATTCCCAGTAGAGGAAGCACCAGGAGCCTTGCCACAGTTACACCAATTATAGTTCTAAGTCCAAGTTTAGACTCATTGGGTCCTTCAGCAAGCATACCTCCTAATATAAGCATCACAGAAGGTACCATTGCCCCACCTAAAATCTCTAAACTGTCTGTAATGAAAGATAATGGAGCATCATATCCAAAGAACAAAGCTTTCAGCTGAGGCACTGTGCCAATGATGATAGCTAACAGTGAGGCAATTGTTGGGGGTTGAAGTATGTGCTGAATCGGAGTTTGTTCAGCAACAATTCTTATCCTCCTGACAACTCTAGGTTCAGCCAAACACCTAATGGACCTTGGACTATTCCCACTGCTTTCTGCTGTGATTTCAAGGTCAGGAATAGTGGATGAGGAAATACCTGAGATGCTCTTAAAAACCCTGGCAATAAAGGGTGTCTTAGAATGTTCAGTCTCTTTATCCTCAATGCCAGGCCACTCAGCTTCTACAAGGAGTGGTCTACTGATATCATTAAGTGTCCGATGCTGCTCGATTTCAGCCCCTTCCTCAACAATCTCATAATACTCCATAGGAGGCTCCATCATGTGATAAACAAGGGTGTAAAAAAGGATAACTGCAACCCAATGAGAAAAAGAGACATAAGCCACCCCTCTTGAGTTGCAATTGTGCCCAAATGGATTATCTTTAGTATGGCAAACAGATCCAACTACAGCAAGGGGGAGATTTCCAGTGTTACCAAATCCCGTCATTATAATAGTAAATCTGGTTAACTGTGGAGGTGGGCGACATATGATCACCACTATGAACCCCAGTAAGCAACCAAGAGCTGTACTCACCAGCACATTAACAGGGATGAACCACCAGTCTACAAAGTTTTTGAGAGTAATGCTTTCACCCAGCTCAGTGAACATAAGGCATGGCAAGAAGAGAGCAAACACAAGTTTACTAAGGAGTTTGAAAGTAGCTTTGGGGATGAATTGCATTCTAGGGTTTGCAAGAAATAATCCTATAACTGTTATGCATAGCAGCTTCAACAAAGGCACTATAGCAGCTGCCAGATCTGCACTACCAGACCTCACTTTATTCTCATACAAACCAACAAAATCTCCTGTCATGTTTTACCTCAAGAACTTGAAGACAAGGATCAAAATTCCCTCCTGCAATAAATCACACAGTGCACACATAAATGAATTTCCGTAACCCCTATAAAAACGAAAAATCCATAAACAGTACTGAAATTATTATCAAAACATAACTCAGATTCCAACAACAACTCGAGCAAAGTGAATTGCACAAAGTAACAACAAGCAGCCATTAAAAGCATATAACACGACCAATATAAAAGACAAAATCGGTTTTAAACTTATCACAACAAGAAATCAAACGGGTTTTCAGATAAAACCCAAGTGCATCTAGAAGAATACCAGGGTAGTATGAATTACAACAACAGAAACTAAAATCAGAGAAAATATGATAAGATCATAAGACAGTGACCAGAGTCTTGATAAGAATCAATGAGAAAATGGGGTGTTCATTGAAAAGCGACTAGCCGAAGCAGAATCTAAACCGGGGATAAACAAGGAGGGGACTTACAAACCAGTTTCGGAGACCCAATTGGTGAAAGGTCAAAGCTTTAACGTTTATTTTGCAACAGTCAGAGAAGATAAGACTAAAATCACGAGATTCTCAACAAAGCTTGCACAGAAGGGAAGAACTAATCAGTCCCAGGTTCAGATCCTGAGCAATTTGATAAGGTCACGGTGTTCGTCGTGGAAATTTTTACTCATATTAATCATTGAAGTTTTACTCCATTTTTATATTACCACGCTTAATTTTTTTAATTGGAAATTAATAAAATAAAAATTCACTTTTCTTTTTAGCAGAATGCAAATGATAACAAATACCCAGGTATTTAACACATTAGTGTTTTTTTATATAATAACACAAACAAAGTCAAATTAAAAATTTTGAATTTCTCTTCACCATTAATTCGCATCTAATTTATCATTTTTTAAAACGATAACACATTAGTGCTTTTAAGTAAGTGTTTGAATAATAGAATTTGTGACTTTTCAATCGAATTATATAGGTCGATATCAGAATTTTGTTTAAATATAACTAATTATAGAACATTGTAATCAATAACTGCTAAATTATAGAGTTCATGTAGTTGATTACTAGCTTTTTGTTTTGAAATTAACACCTATCACATTTATGGTAACCGTTTATAATGGATTTGTACCGTTAGGTTCTGTGAGCCCACTATGTACCCTATAGGGTAACGTTACTATATGGATTATACCACTAGGCGAGGTAATGACCAGACTAGTAGGTATAGTTCCAAGAGGCAAGCAAGCTAATAGCAATGGCAGATTAATAACAAGAGAATGACTTGGAAGTAAATGGGCATAACAACAGTACATAAAAGCTACCTCTAAGGTGTGCCCAGGAGGGCTATTTATAAGGGAAATGGAGCGGGTTGGTGAGGGAGAGGTCAACTCTCCTTGGGATTTACTCCCATGGTGCAGTGTTAGGCGTGCTGGCGCTGTCATTGTGGCAGTGCTGCGCCCTCTGCACTCTGGCGGTGTCAGCGCCGGGCAAAGGGGGAGTTTCCCTTTGTGGTTTCTGTCGTAGTTGCCTTCAACGGTTAGCGTTCCAAGATGGGACATTTTGGTGTATGCCTTGGGTCTGCTGCTACGTTGGGGGTTGAGGGGGTCCATGTCAGCCCTAAGGGCTGACGTGGGGCAAGGCTGAGGCTGGGCTTGAGTGATTGGGCCAGCTGAGGGTTGGGCCTGTGTAGTTGGGCCGCCCCAGTATTCGGGCCATCCAGAACAGGAGCCCCCCCAGCTTGGTAGCAGCCGTGAGGTGGTGCCAAGTTAAAGACTCCGGACGTTCTTGTCATGGCGGTGTGCGTCCTTCAAGGGGGAGTTACTGGCGCTTTATGGGTATAAGTTGGCACCTTGGTAGATAGGATTTGGCGACCCATCGTTTGGCGATGTGAAATGCTTGGCGACCCATCGTTTGGCGATGTGAAATGCTTGAGCACGGGCGATTGCTCTTGGTGATAACTGTCCTACGGTCATTGATGACGGGGATTGGTAGGTGATGGAAACGGAAAGCTGCCTCTTAAAGGTACTTTAAGAGGCTTTTCGGTTTCCGAGGAGCCGTAATGATGAGTTATCCCATCATTACTATTTACTGCAGGCATCCAAGCGTCATAGGGTTCGGCGCATTAATGCGACGCGACTGGTGATTTGTCCCTTTGAAGTGACCGTCTTGCCCCCTCTCCTTAACCGCTCATCACACGATGAGCATGCCATCGTACGGTTAAGTGAGGGTTACTTACACGTGTCTGTGTGAGACTAGTGTGATTTGCGTAACCGCTCATCCCACAATGAGCATGCCATCGAACGGTTAAGTGAGGGTTACTTACACGTGTCTGTGTGAGACTAGTGTGATTTGCGTAACCGCTCATCCCACGATGAGCATGCCATCGAACGGTTAAGTGAGGGTTACTTGCACGTGTCTGTGTGAGACTAGTGTGACTTGCGTAACCACACGATGAGCATGCCATCGTACGGTTAAGTGAGGTCTCTCTCTTTCCCCCCCTTTTTTTTTATAAAAAGGGGGTGAGCCCCCTTGTTAGGGCTCTTCCTTACGCGAAACCTACACTCTTGCGCATTGCTCAGAGCCTTTGTTCCCTATCCTCAGTTTGGTGTGATAGTGCCGGTCTTCTTTCTCTTCTTTCCTGCGATTCTCAGGTATAGTCCTTCTTCTCTTGTCGTTTCTATTCTCCTTTCTGGTTGTCTTCTACTCTTTTTTCTGCTGTACCGACGGTTAGGTTTATAGAACCTATCCCAGGCCTCATACTCCCTGAATTGGAAGTAGAAATTAAGGAAGAGGAGTTTGACGAGGCCTTTGAGGCACTGGGGGATAGTGCGGTGGGGCCAGCTATGCGAGAGTGTCTTGCTAGTTGCGCCCCAAGTCGTCCCTTAGTTCCTGGGGATGAGATGTTTTCCCACGGGAAGGTGCCCGAACTTCTGGGTTTTAGCGAAAAGGAGATTCAAAATCTCCTTCCCGAGAGAGTTTTAGGTCCTATCCTACCGTATGCTGGTGAGGCGTCGTGTTCAATTCCCCGTAGTGGGCGCCGCAGAGGGCGCCACGATTTGGTTGGTGAGAAGAGCTCCAGATCTGGTGGGCGTTCGCGTGCCGCCTCTAGGAGGCAGATGCTCGCTTCACGCCGTCGCGTTTCTCGGCGTTCTGATCTTGGAGTTGGGCGATTAATTCGACCCGTATCCAACATCAACCGCCTGCGTCAAAACCGTCCCTTAGAATATTATTTCCACCCTCGCCCTTCTCTAGTCGCCCGTCGTTCCTCTCATGGTCTAATTCCCCCCATTCCCCAATCTTTCCATCGTCGCATGTATGATGAGTCCACAGAAAACCGTTTGGGTAGATATCACCCGGAGGATGGTCGCCTTACAAGGTATTGCGTGTGGGACGCCATTTTTGAGGATATAGGGCTTTATAAGATACCGCCTGCTTGGTGGCCTTCTAACCTGAGCTATTCAGATTTTTATTCAAGTTCATCAGATACCTCGGATTCTGATGGTGAGTTAACTGTATAACTTTTCTTTTTTCCTTTTCGTTGTTCTTGGCGCGGGGGGTGTTGGAGGTGACAAGGATGTTGATAGGGTGGGTTGGAGTATCTCGTTTCCTTTTGCAATGGTCTTCCTGGCGTCAGTGAAGTTTAGAAGATTGACTGTGTGTTTGTCGCTCCTAGGTAGGACTCTCAAGGATTTTCCAGAATTATGGCGACTGTTCCGTCGGACGATGGTCTCGGGGCGCGGGATTGGGTTGACTCAGTGGTGGCCTCAACCTCTTCAAGCTACTCTGACAAGATCATCTTACGCAGTCACTATAAAGGTGAGCCTAGCTTTAGTATAACTGAAAATGGCGCCATGGAGGCGAAGTGGCAACCGATCGCGGTCGGCGCTGATCGTCGAGTTTGTGACGCGCCTCTTATAGAGCAGCGATTACGATGGCGATTTATGGTGTACAAAACGCACTTTACTGATCAGAAGGTGAGGTTTCCGTTATCCGAGTTCGAGATGGGGGTTTTATCTCACTTACAGGTCGCGCCTTCACAACTGCATCCCAACGCTTGGGCGTTTGTCCGAGTTTTTGAGAGTATATGCAAGTGTTTTGACATGGCCTATTCTGTACGATCATTTTTCTACTGCTTTCAAGTGTCACCATCCAAGAAGACGAAGCTTGGTTGGGTTTCTTTGAAGGCAGGCAACTCGATTGGATCAATATTTGCCCAGTACGCCAACTCTTACAAAAATTGGACGCGTACCTTCTTTTGGATTGAACCAGTGCTAAGCGAGGGCGAGCTCCCTTTCTTTGTTGATCCGTCGAGTGGGGAGTGCCGGTTTCCCCTGTACTGGACTAAGGCTCATTATGAAACGCCGGCCTGTCATTACTTGTTTGCTCTAAGGGTCTTGTCTCCTGGGGAGGTAAGGGCGATCAGTTGGTTTTTGGAGGTAAAGGGGGGTTTTGACAGGTGGCCCACGAAGCAAGTGTTGTGTCATGGAGGTGTGGTGGCGTTCAAAGTTTTCCTTTTTCTTTAACTTTGTGGCGATTTATTCTGAGACTTCTTGTGTTTACCCTTTCTTGTGTTTATACTGACTCGTATCTTATTGTTTGTAGTTGGAAACATGGCAACCGATGCGTTGAAACTTGCGCGTAATGTCGCCGCTAAAGTGAGGGCCAAGCAGGGCATAGCGCCTCAGACTCAGACCATCCTTCCCTCAAAAAGGAAAAGCTTGGACAAGGGTAAAGCCATAGAGGTCCGTCACAAAAAGAAGAAAGTTCGGTCTGCTGCTGACATCCCTGCTGGTGAACTTGAGAAGCGGGCTAACCGCCCTATTATTAGAGAGCCCACTGGCGTGACTGGCCACTCTTCTGCAAGTGAATCAACACTTGGTTCTGGGTTACAAGGCGCGATAGCGAGCTTAACACCACCAAGACCTTCCCAGGCAGGGCGCTCTGAGCGTTCTGGGGGCGGTCTGACCCGGGATGGTGCCTCTGAAGGCGATCCGGCTGGGGGAGGTGACCACTCTGTTGAGCCATCTGAGGCTGTAGGTTCACCCCCTCTTCCAGAAATCCTTGTGAGCAGGGCGCTCAGGTTGTCCGAGAGGGACCTCGCCAACGGCTTCCCCAACATCAGGCGTCCCAAGATGGTAATGCCCCCGCGTTTCGACCGCCATCAATACATGGATTGCACCCAAGTAATAATTGGCCGCCTCCTGGGCCAACAGGAGATTACCCTGGATTTTGAGGAACGATGCACCCGACAAGAGGATCTTATTGTTGACTTGGGGGGGCAGGTGAATGGCTTGACTGCTGACGTAGGGCGCCTTGGCAAAGAAGTTGCTGACGGGAAAGCTTCTTCAAAATCTTTGATGGCGCAATTAAAAACGGCAGAGGATGCAGTGAAACAATTGACCGCCGATAAAAACAACCTGAGTCTGTCAGTGGAGAATTTGAAGAAGGAAAATGAGACTCTTTCAGCAGAGCGAGATCAACTTTCTTCAGATTTATTTTCCGCTCACGGGAGCCTTCACGCCAGGGGTGACGACTATAAGAAGGCTATTGCGCAAGTGGGGAAGCTGGAAGAGGCTCTGGCAGATCTGATGTACGATTCTTTCAACAACGCCCTCAAGCAGGTTGCCGTGAGGTATCCTGGTGTCAATTTGACT